TGACTGTGAATCACTGGATAACCATTTCCAGAGAGTATTTATCAATCAATTACAGACCCACCTTATAGTAACTCAATCTAGGTGGTATTTCCCTAATTTGTTAATGAGAAGGTCATGTGAGACTGTATTAAAAGTCTTACTGAAGTCTAGATATACCTACATCTACCACTTCTCCCTCCCCCTCCCCTCTCCCCAAGGCTTATTGCCCTGTCCAAGAAAGCTATTAGACTGGTTAGACACCATTTGTTTCTGGCAAATTCATTCTATTTGTTACCACTTATCTTCTAGATGTTTTCAAATTTATTCTGTAATTATTTGCTTCGTTATCTTTCCTGGTACAGAAATTAAGCTGGCTGGTCTATAAATCCCTGGGTTCTTCTTACTTCCCTTTTTTTTTTAATAGATGGGCACTATATTTGTCCCTTTTCCAGTTTTCTGGAATCTTCCCAGTCTTCAAAGACTTTTCAAAGATAATGGCTTAGATAGCTCCTCAGCCTGATCACTGAGTATTATAGGATGCAATTCCTCAAACCCTGGTGACCTGAAGACATCTGACCAAGTAATTTGCAACTTCACTGTAATTCACTACGTTAGGCATCCCATCACCACCAATATTCTTGATGAAAACCAAAACAAACAAGTTCTTAAATACCTCCACCATTCCCATAATTTCTGCTTTTCCCCCCTCTTCATTGACTAATGGGCCTATTTTGTCCTTGATCTTCCTCTTGCTTTTAATGTATTTGTAGAATGTTTTCTTGTTACCCTTTACATTCCTAGCTAGTGTGATCTTCTTTTGTACCTTGACCTTTCTAATTTTATCCCTACATACCTGTGTTATTTGTTTATATTTATCCTTTTGTAATCTGATTTAATTTACACTTTTTGTGGGACTGTATCCCACTGTAGATCATCTGGGAAAGCCAGGACAGTCTCTTGCCATACTTCATATCTTTCCTATGCAGTGGAATAGTTTGCTCTTGTGCTTCTTTGAAAAATTGCCAACTGTCTTCAATTGTTTTTCCTCATAATCTTGCTTCCCTTGGGATCCTATCTGCCAATTCCCTGAGTTTTCTAAAGTCTGCCTTCTTGAAACTCATCTTTTAAATTCTATCCTAGCTAAACTACAACTGGTATTCCTATTAAAAGTTCAAACCTTTTTTAGATCACTGAGCTATTTACCCCTCTTTTTAATCTAAAAGGAACAAGTTCCACAAATAAACTAAATTTTTCACAAAGTATTTCTTTTTATCTTCATTGCAGAATGTTACTGATGTGGGATGTGGGCCAAAACGGTGCTTGAATGTTTTCCTTACTTTCACAGTCAGCAAGCCACGCTCCACAAAATGGAAGAAGTAATCTAGTTGGGATCTTCTAGCAATTCCATTCAAAAACAACCACAAAAGCAATGTTTTACATGTTTACAAAAGTATTAAAATTTTGATGCACAACTCATAATGGTTCATTCAGGGAAGCTGTCATGGCCTCTCACACACAGAGCTATTAGCCAAAGAAGGCCATTAAGTGGAATTTGCTCTGGAGTTTTATCTACATCTACAGGTATTGCCACCAAAATGACTCTTATTTTCATCTAAAAACTACTTAGATTTTCCAGGTCAAGCCCCCAAAAATTACTGCTTCAAAGCTTAGAGATAGTAATTATCAAGTAGAAAAAGATAAGTCACACATTTATTGAAATTTAACACAATTATGGATTGATTGATTTATAGGCATAAAAATGAAATCAAGCCAGACTTGAAAGCTTACCATCAAAACATTTAAGAGAAAAATACTTGTTCAGTAAATGAGAACAAAGATGTGGATATTAGGCCAAACCCACACTATGGGGGAAGACTGGCTTAAGGTTCACAATCCTAGCTACTTGAACATTGCTGAAGTCAACATACCTTAAGATGAGCTTCAGCACCACCCTTGTCACCCTCATAGTGGGAGATCAATGGGAATAACGTTCATCAACTTCCCTTACTTCTCATGATGAGTAGGACTATGCAGCATTCAATTTAGCAGGTCTTTACTACACTCACTCAATCGAACGCCTGAAGATCAACCAATGCTGTGTTTATCTTCCCACAAGTGGAGATGTGGCCTTAGTGAAATCACACACAAGCTTTATTGTAGGCTCTATAACAGTGGTCCCCAACGCGGTGCCCGCGGGCGCCATGGTGCCTGCTGAGGCATTTGTGCGTGCCCGCCGACAACCTGGGCTGGCCCACCCCCGGGGCACTGGGTGCGCGGTGCTCGGGCAGCCCTAGCCCTGGGGCAC